GTAAGGAGCGAAGGGACGCCCCATATAGGCCACGCCAACTCCATCATGAACGATGAGCATGGGTCCCGGTCGGACATTTCCGATTGGAGCTCTTCAAACCCCCTCACTCGAGTCATCAAGGTAACACTATCGACCCCCGCTATTTCTTTATAATCATTTCATACATCCATATGCGCATTCATTCCATACGCCCGTGTCTCCTAGATGATCCGGGCCCTAAACCACCCGAGGGCTCGGGAACTAAAGCATCGCACGTGCAGCGAAATGCATCACAACGCTCCATGTTGTGTCACAAAGCGGTAGTTGCCTCATTCGACATGAGCAATGACCGACTGGGGTTCAAAGGCCGGCCCACGAAGGGCTCGAGGCCACCCCACGTCAAACAGAGCTAGGGGAGAAAATGCAGATGAGCCCCATGCGGCCCTCACCCAGTCTACCCCAAAGTAGACAGGGTCATCTCAACCTTCTTGTTCGATCCTAAACCTCTCGCCAAGCCCACAGAATCTCCATCGATGGGAGGCCAGTAGGCCACCCGGGTTGGTCTCCAGAATGACCCAGGCATCAGCCGGGTTGTAGGTAAAGGAGCAGTGGAATGTCACAAGAGGGCTATGCTGACCCCATCATGAACGATGGACCCAGATTCCACTCGATCATACCCGTTAGTGAACTCACCGAGTGCGTCAGTCGAGCCCGAGCGATCGAGGCAAGCAACAAAGCTCAGCCCCTCCGGTTGTGAGAAACCGAGGATGAGGTAACGCACACAACTCAAACTGACCCCTACCAAAGCCCAACGGGGCTTGGGGGCCCAAGACACCGAAAAAAATGCCTGGGTCTGCGACCCCAAAGTCGCCCCATCCCACGGCTACGCTTCGATTGCACACCAAACGCCTGGGTCTGCGACCCCGAACTCACCCCATCCCTCAGCTATGCTTCGACTGCACACCAAACGCCTAGGTCTGCGACCCTGAAGTTGCCCCATCCCTTAGCTACGCTTCGACTGCACACCAAACGCCTGGGTCTATGACCCTGAACTTGCCCCATCCCTCGGCTACGCTTCGACTGCACACCAAACGCCTAGGTCTACGACCCCGAACTCGCCCCATCCCTCGGCTACGCTTCGACTGCACATGGGTCTATGACCCCGAACTTGCCCCATCCCTCGGCTACACTTCGACTGCACACCAAACACCTGGGTCTACGACCCCGAACTCGCCTCATCCCTCGGCTACGCTTCGACTGCACACCAAACGCCTAGGTCTACGACCCCGAACTCGTCCCATCCCTCGGCTACGCTTCGACTGCACACCAAATGCCCGGGTCTGCGACCCCGAACTCACCCCATCCCTCGACTACGCTTTGACTGCACACCAAACACCTGGGTCTGCGACCCCGAGCTCGCCCCATTAGGATCCGTGAGCTCCGACTCGCCCGATCCCTAAAAACTAACTAACTAACTGCCTCGGCTGTGCGGGCTGCTCCGAGGCCAGGATCCACAACTCCGCCTCGCCCGATCCCACGGCGTGCATCGACGCCAGGACCCACGAGCTCTGTCTCATCCAATCCCTAAACTAACTGCCTCGCCTGATCTCACGGCGCGCACCGACGCCAGGATCCACGAGCTCTACCTCGCCCAATCCCAAAACTAAAATGCCTCGGCTACGCAATGATGCCTTGGTGGATGACTCCGTCTCGACTAAAAAAAACACACACACGCCCGCTAACAAACACCCCCAGATGATTCTACCTGAATCGCCCAGGGGCTCGGGGGCTACACCCGCGGGTGCGCTCATGCGCACCCGCTGACAAAACGAAAACCTTCACCACTGGCAACACAAAAAACCCCCAGACGATTCTAATTGAATCGCCCGGGGGCTCAGGGGCTACACCCGCGGGTGCGCTCGCATGCACCCGCCGTCAAGACAAAAATTCCCAAACGATTCTACCCGAATCGTCCGAGGGCTCGGGGGCTCCTGTTGGGTTCATAAACCTGGGGTCCCTCGCGGACTAGCTTCCCAAACAAAGGCTCGGCCCAAGCAGACAACGCGTAACTCGTGGGCTGGCTCAGGTATCTAAACAACAGGCCAGAAGGGTGATCCAATCACTAACCGGAAGGTCTGGCCGAGGAGGAATGGCGCCCGTTTTCCGACTCCCGCCCACCTCTTCGACCGGAGCGCTCGCTTTGGTCTCTAGCCCACCTTCGGATGGCCTCTCCGACCGGAAGGCCTGGCCAAAGCACTACTTACGACTCCGACCCGCGTCTCCGATCAGGGATGCGCCAAGCCCTTGCTCGCTGCTTTTCTCCGACTGGCGTGATCAGAGACGACTGGGACCAACCGACCGGGGACGCTCGCTCGGTAAGGACCAGGAAACGGACGGAAAAAGTATGGCAGGGCGCACAAGTCAAACTGCAATATTGGGGTCCGTACCCTGTACACCTGTAGAAATAGTACTCTGCGACCTCCCTAGCACATCAGAACCCAAGCAGTGTTGTAGGCGCTGACATTTTCCCCTATAGTATTGTGGGCACCATTAACTCCCATACGGTAAGGCTCCCCCACATGCCTCTGGGCATCGACAGTGTTGTGGGCGCCGACATTTACCGTACCAGGCGAATATGGTAAAACCCCTTGCATGCCTACAGGTATCAACAGTATGGCAGGCGCCAACGTCTGCCATATCCGAAGAAGACAACACAACCTCCCACGTGCATCTGACATCCAACAGTGTTGTGGGCGCCTACCATCATCCTGTACCCACCGGCGTGGGCAACAAGGCTTAGAAGCATACGTACTCTCTCCCTCTCACTTGTAAGGCCATCCCCTTCATCTATAAAAGGGGATGCGCTCTCTCCCAACATTCAGGTTCATCCAAGTTCATTCAGATTCATTAGATCGATCAAGTTCACTACTACACCACAGCAGAACCACCAGGTTCAAACCACGAGAACACGCTCGAACACTTAGCTCATAGCGGGACTCCCGTCACTCTCAGCCCTTCCGACCGGAGTCCGACTAGACCTCTTGTACCCCTGATCTCTCTCCTTCTCGTTTGTAATCCCACTGCAAACTTCGAGCACCTGGGCTCAGGAATAAAGTCACCGACCGACTCAAAATGGACGTAGGGCACATTGCTTGAACCAGTATAAACCCTGTGTCATTGAGTTCTATGCCACCTCCTATCACAACGTACGGCAAAACTACAAATATTTACTTGTTGGTCACTTTCTGCACCGACAATACTACTTGTATAGTCTTAATTTCTTACATCTGCAGTTCTATCGTCTGTGGGAATTCTTGAAGCAAAATTTAATTACATCATTCATCAGTTGTGTGGCATCTCTATTTTTAGACTACAGAAAAACAACAAAGTTTGGGACCAATTCCAAACACCTAATAAAGCACTGGGGATTATTATCATCATGATGCAATAATCACAGTGATTCAGGAAATGGGAATTTGCACAACAGATTGCACATAAAAAAATAAAACAACCAACAACCACCACCACGCCCCGCCGCCGGCCACCACCACCACCACCGCAGCCACCGGCCATATCCGAGAGAGGGAGGGCCGGATCCGACCGGGTGAAGAAGGGGGAGGGGAGGGGCACCCACTAGGGAAGAAGAAGGGGGAGTGGAGGGGCGCCGACAGGGGAGAAGAAGGGGAGGGGAGGGCCGCCACCACCACCACGCCCCGCCGCCGGCCACCACCACCACCGCAGCCACCGGCCAGATCTATGAGAGGGAGGGCCGGATCTGACTGGATGAAGAAGGGGGAGGGGAGGGCACCACCGGGAAGAAGAAGGGGAGGGAGGGGCCAGCGGGGAGAAGAAGGGAGGGAGGGCCGCCACCACCACCCGCCCCCCACCGGCCGCCACCACCACCACCACCACAGCCACCGGCCAGATCCGGGAGAGGGAGGGCTGGATCCGGCTGGGTGAAGAAGGGGTTGGGGAGGGGCACCCGTCGGGGAAGAAGAAGGGGAGGGGAGGGGCGCATGCGGGGGAGAAGAAGGTGGATGGGAGGGCCGCCGCCGCCACTACGCCCCGCCGCCGGCCACCACCACCACCACCGCAGCCACTGGCCGGATCCGAGAGAGGGAGGGCCGGATCCGGCTGGGTGAAGAAGGGGGAGGGGAGGGGCGGCCGCCCGCCGGGGAAGAAGAAGGGGGAGGGGCGGGGCACCGGCGGGGGAGGAGGGGCGCTGGGGTCGGGTGAAAAAGGGGGAGGGGAGGGGCGGCCGCACCAGGGAAGAAGAAGGCGGCGGGCGGCATGCATGCGTGAGTTCGGCTGGCGCGCAGCAGCAATGCGTCGTCGTGAGTGAGGAGAGCCGAGCAAAGCGAGTCGTGCGTCTGAGGGGTGTTTGGGGCGGCGGCCGGCGAGTTAGGGTTAGGACTTCTTTGTTTTTTTATTTATCCTATGCGTGCATATATTTTTTCTGTGCGTGCATATATTTTTTCTGTGCGTTTTTAAATAACCGACAGAATAAATTATATTTTTCTGTGAGTGCTGATTTTTACGTGTGTGTATTGTCACGCACAAAAAAATCATACAATTATTCTGTGGGTTTTCTTATGTTTCTGTCGGGATATTTTAGAACCGACAGAATAATCGTAATTTTTCTATATGTACCGAAAAAACGCACAGAAAAATTCATCACCCACGGAGCAATTCGAGTCTCTGATTCACCGATGGAGGTAGATGACCAATTTATTAGTACCACGTAAATTAATGCCAAAAGAGATTAAGGCTTCTACTGTACTACTATCTTGTTATATCTAATTCATATCGCATCAACATGGACCAATTTCCGTAGGAAAAAGAATTGTTACTGTGTTAATTACAAGACAAATTCAGAACTGTGAATGAAAATAATGGTGTTACAACCTGAAGTAGGTTACTGGTAATCAAAGAACAAATTAAATCGAATGGGATGAATGTACAGGTCAAATTTTTTTTCATATCCTCGCGCAGTACGTAGTATTTGTGAGCCCATGCATCAGTTAGCAGGGAGGTGGCAAGGTGAAGATGTCGTCGATATTTCTTCTCCCGCACTGCTCGCCGACGTAGCTGGCGACGGCGGCCATCACCGCCGCGCGGAAATTGGGGTCCGCCACCGCCTTCTCCATGATGTTAGCCATCGGGACGACGTTGCCATGACTCGACGCAGCAGTCAGCGGCGGACCGGCTATGGCCACGTCGCGGCTGGACGAATAGCGTTGCGGCGCCGGTGGCAGCACGGAGATGGGGAAGGCCAGCCGTGGCGCGTCGTTGCAGCTGGCGCGGCGAGCGGCGGCGGTAGCAGCAGTGCCTGCCGCCGCGTCCCGTGACGATGAAGACGACGAGGCGAGCACGGCGGACGCCATGGCGGCGGCGTAGGGCGAGAGCGGGTGGTTGTGGACGCCGTCGTAGGTGGTGATGAGCACGGCCGTGTCGCGCGCGCAGCGCTGGACCTTCTTCCTGACGGGGCAGTCGGGCGCGCCCGTGCAGCGGTAGTAGGCGCGCGGGCACGGGTTGCCCTTGGCCACCTTCTGGCCGTACTTCCGCCACTGGCACCCGTCGTTCACCGTGGCCGCGCTGCACCGCGCCCTGAAGGTGACGCGGTCCGGCCTCTGCTGCGGCTGCGGCGCCGCTGGCAGCAGCGCCTGCTTCTTGCTTCCTCTCTCGCCGACGCCTCTGTCGTCGTCGCTTACTATTACCACCCTCTGCCGCTTGGTGCCAGTAGAGCCGACGGCGCGGACCGGCTCGCCGCCGCCGTCGCTGTCGCAGCGCAACCCGAGGGCCAAACCGATCCCGTCGTCGTCGGCGTTGCTGGCGTGCGGTCGAGCCTGCGATGCATTGATCGCCTCCCTTCCTCTCTTGAGGAGACTTGCGCCGATCGCGTTCGCCGGTCCGAGGCTAAGTGACAGAAATGGCCCGGCCGGCTCGTCGCCCAAGTTGATCTATGTGGACATATATGTAAGATATAATTTTCAGTAACATAACATGAGCAATTAAAGCAAAATACGTGGAGTTGCAGGGAGAAATGAGAAAAAAAAAAACGATATGGCAGTTTTACGTACCTTCTCAGTTGCGCCTCTCATCAGCTCCTTGAAAACTAAAGTCTTGAGCTCCATGAATAGCAACTTGTTAGCACTTTCTATCTTCTCTTGTGTAGTAGCTTTGCTCTTTTCTGCATATGCAACCTGCAGGCTCTCTTGTCTGTCTATATATAGACAGACAGACAGACAAACCGTGTCTATATAGGAGTACTAGAGTGCCTGAAAATGTCAAAAGCTGACCTAACTACTACAAGCAAGCTACACACGCTGCTGCTGGGTTAAAAAAAGGGAAGATGAACAAGTGCAAAAACACGGCAAGGTAACGAACGTCATTAGTATAATTATTATTATTAAGCGATTGATTAGTCGTTAATCTCGGCGTTGGAGACGTGACTGCTTTGGTCATCGAAGTTTGACGCTTTCTCCTTTCTGTCCGCGGCACGCTTGGTGGGATGCCGTGGTGATTCGTCCTCGCGCACGCGCCTGCATGCATTTGCATGTGGTCTTCGTCAACTCGGTCCTTATCCGGCAGCAACTTGGCAAGAAATTCAAATTCTTCGCATGACATTCAAATTAATAAATGGAACAAGGTCATAAATAATTCATCTTACCAAGTGTATTATACTATTATTTGCTGTTGGGGTGACACGAAGAATTTCTCCGTGTCATCAAGAGTAAAATGGTTGTTTTAAAATCGTGGTCTGTTTTGGGTTACGTAGTTGACCAAATCTGGGTACAATAAACCCCTTTGGAACAAAGGATTCATAGAGAAATTCTGTAGGATGCTAAATCTGTAAGAATTTTTTTTCTAAGTTTCCCTTTGCAAGGAATTTCCATAGAATAGCTCAATTTATAGGAATTTTGGAGGAAATCTAACATAAGGTTTAAGATCTTAAAAACTTTCCTTTGTGTCTATCTCTCTTCTAATTTCTCTGTTCTCCATGTGTTGTATCCAAATGATCTATTAAAGAATTTCCTGGGGTTTTCAGTTCCTATAGGATTTGTTAGTAACATGTAACTTTAATTATACATTTTTTATTGCTGTGTTTTGGATATCCTAAGTTTCGAAGGCCCCTAAATGATATTGTCCCGCCGTCGAACTGCACAAGGTTTAGAACCCCGGTCGGCGGCGCCACACGTGCTGTGCTCCTATATTCCTAGCTACTAGGTAGGAGATCTATTCGTCCGCAATTTCCACCGATATATATGCTCTTCATCTCTTCGGTAAGAGAAAACAAATAAAAGCAGTGCCGTCTACGTCTCAAAAATGTTTTACGTCACGATGAAGGACTTTAACCCTGACCGTACTAGGAATCCAGGGGTTTTCACCTCTGAATTTAACTTTGTCCCGACATGAAAAGTTCATCTCAGTCGTCAAGGTTTTTTTTCCCCCTCACAGGTGTAACTAGTAAGCGCTGACGAACAGGAAAGGATAACGTAGGAGCATGCATTAGACCATTAGTACTAATATTATATGGAGTATATAGTTAAAAAGCTGCGCTGCCGTCTTCCCTCTTTTCCCATGAAAACTTTCCAAACTGCCGGTCAGGTTGAGTTTCTGGTCGGTCTGTTCCTGGTAAGCAATTCTGACTTGCCTTGTCTCTCCCTCTCCCCGTCCAGATTCCGTGCATTTACCGTTCCACCGTACATGGTACGGATGGGTATTCTACTGTAGGTTTTATTTTTGATACAAGGAATAATCGGCATATTCGTTTGGGTTATAAACCGTATTTTTTCAACCAACGAATAGTATTTTTCTCTCGCAACAAATCAGCTAACAGTACTTTCAACCATGGTTTATCAGCTAAGCGAACAGAGCAAATTCTGCTGAAGAACTAGGAGTGCGTATTCTTTCATGAATAGTTTTACGCGTCCTTTTACTTTCACCTGTCACTTGTTACCGAACCTGTTGAAGGCTGGAATAACAATTCCATCTTCTTAATTAGTATCTGCGAGGACCTTGGAGATTAAAAACCTTTGAATAGTTGACGAAGAAACATTTTTGTTTTCTTTTTTATTCACCAGCAAATATGATTTATGTATCCTATTGTGTTGCTTGTCGATATAAAATTAGCCTATTCAAGCGTTAGTTAATTGTTACAAATAAGAGAAACTAATTATTATTGTCTGAAAATAATATCAAATTAACCATGACAATGAGCAGGGAGTACAGTTGGGGGTGAATCGCAAGATCTAGCCATGGAGCCGCTGCTGGTTCCTCGCTCGTGCTAGACATATGAAGGGTGCCGGAGACCGGCGCACTCCATCTGGAGGAGAAGTTGCAGGGCGGACCTGCTGCTGCTCGACCGGGACGGTCAAGCCCGGCGGCGCCCACGGCTGGAGGGTGGAGGCCCGGCGACGGCCGCGCGTGAAGGTCCGGCAGTGGCTGCTGCCCGCCGAATATGCCTGTGAGCAGGAGAAGAGGCACGATTTTGGCGCAATCTTTCTCTCGCCCGCGTGTACAGCTGATCCGCGCGTCGGCCACTGCGTCTCGGAGCACGAGGGCTTGCCGTCATCTCGCGAAGAGACGGCTCCATTCTCTTCCTTCATTTACTGCTGCGAACGGGGTGTTCTTGGCAATTTTCACATCATAGAGACGGCATCCGGAGGCCCGTTGTACGTGTCCTAATCCTACGTGTGTGAGCTATTATATGTACTTGTTGTGAGTTTAAGATAAATGCAATGAAAGCCACATCACTCCTCCAAATCCGATGACTATTTTAGCACTACCTATTTCTCGGTCTTAGGCCATCTGCCACACCCAAGCCAAGTGAAACCAAGGGGTAACCAAGAGGTAGCAGAATTAGCATATAACTTTTTCTATGCCGTGCAACTACAAATCCTATTTGTCCACATATCTGACATAAGAAGCCACATTATTCTAGAACAAGGTCAAAGATTATCCTAAGTCCTAAGTGGAGTGAAATTGGTGTAGATGGTTTCCAGAGATTGTCACAACCACGTATGTTCATTATGTGACATTTTAAGGTGATAATTCGCAACCCAAAATCACCCCTAGCCGAACAGAAAATTTGATTGATGAGTACCACCGTAGAGTATACAATTCTAATATGCTTTGTTGGCCGATGCAAATGACATAGATCCTAGTGCCACATGTCGATGTGACCCTATGACTTTATTTCTTTTTTATTTTTTGTATTAAAAAGAAGCAACACTAGATTGGCTAACACAACTACCCCAAATTTGACAATACCATCATCCATAAAAACTTTTGTTATTTGATTCAAATGGTAACATGCACTATGCTGATCAACTTTGGTCTTTTTGCAAAACATACTAGGTTGATTGTTTGTTGTATGTACTGGATGATCATCGAAGAAATTCCAACATTCGTGAAAAGTGGCTCAACCATTTCAGCATTTGTTTCGGAGTAGGATCTAGAAACATATGTAGGACACACAATCCACACATGCACCGTGTACCACAGGCATATCATCAAGTTCATCCTTGCATCTCAGTTTCTACCCTCTCCCTGCCTCTACTTAGGTCATAGACACTAATGCAAAGCTATAGAATATCACTTTTCTTCACATGAGGGACATCGATCAGATGAGGGAGTTTGCAGCAGCACCTTCGCCTCCTGTGGCTATAGCTGGCAGTGGCACACTACCCCTCTGCCACATTGCTGTTGTTGGTGTTGATCCTGCAGCTGTACACCGACGACCCACCGTCATCGTTGTTGTTTTTGCTGCTCTCCTTCGCATTGTTATACTCCTCCTGCTATTGATCACCATCAAGCTGCTATAGCTCTACTCCGGCGGCTGGTGCTGCTGCATAACCGCCATCGTCGTTGATGCTGTTGTCAAGCTCTGATGACGCCCACTAGAGCTCACCTGCTACAACGTTCATACCCTCTAGCAGCTGCGTTTGCATGGGTTCAGTTGCTGAGGCCCCCATCCCAGGCAGCAGAAATTACATCTCCATTCTAATTTCCTATCATAGATAGTCTAGTGAAGCTAGCTTACTAACGCACTATGTTCAACTTTGGTCTTATTTTTGCAAAACATACCAGGTTGATTGTTTGATGTATGTACTGGATGATCATGGGAAGAAACTCTGACATTCCTGAAAAGTGGCTCAACCATTTTAGCATTTGTTATGGAGTAGGATCTAGAAAAGTGTGTTGGACACACAATCCACACACGCACCGTGTACCATAGGCATATCATCAAGTTCATCCTTGCATATTAATTTCTACCCTCTCCCTGTCTCAAATTAGATCACAAACACTAATGCAAAGCTATAGAATATCACTTTTCTTCACATGAGGGACATCGATCAGATGAGGGAGTTTGCAGCAGCACCTTCGCCTCTTGTGGCTAGAGCTAGCAGTGGCACACTACCCCTCTGCCCCATCGTTGTTGTTGGTGTTGATCCAGTAGCTGTACACCGATGACCCATCATTGTCGTTGTTGTTTTTGCTGCTCTCCTTTGCATTGTTATACTCCTCCTGCCGCTGATCAACAAAAACCCGCTGCAGCTCTACTCCGGTGGCTGGTGCTGCTGCATAACTGCCATCGTTGTTGATGCAGTTGTCAGCTCTGATGACGCCCACTAGAGCTTACCTACTATATCATTCATTCCCTCCACCAGCTGCGTTTGCATGGGTTCAGTTGCTGAGGCCCCCATCCAAGGCAACATAAATTACATGTCCATTCCAATTTCCTATCATAGATAGTCAGTGAAGCTAGCTTACTAATGCACTATTGTCGTTGTTTTGTAGACCGACTAGTGAATTTATACGAATGCTGCGCTGCTCCACGAAGACGATGGTAGCATCCAAAAGACACGAGGAGTTATACTGGTTCAGGCCGGAGCCCTACGTCCAGTATCAGAGATGATCGAGTGCGTGTTCCTCGCTTGAATACTCTGAAGTTCTTACAATGGGGGGGTGCAAGAATGGTGGAAAAAGGTAGGAGAGCTAGAGCTAGGAGATGGACTGCCAGAATGAGAGCTTCGAGAGTTCGATCCCCTTAGAAGGGTGCCCTGGCTGCCCTTATATAGAGTCTGGGGCCAGGTCAAATACAAAGAAGAAGGTTCTCCCGACCAAGGGG